ATGTAAAAAAAATAAAGTAAATAATAATTATAATAATAAATAAAACAAAATTATATATATAATAAAATAAAACAAAACAGAAACTCATTAGAGGGGAAAGCTGCAATATCATCACAAAATCATTATCATTGCTTATTGCACTAGATCAAGCCTAAAAGTTACTTTTGGGGAGACATTTTTGTTAATTTTGGTGGCATTTTTTTGCCCGAGGTCCCCATTAATTTCTGACACTGATGCACAATCTAACAGCTAACATTGCCCACGATGTGGGAAAGAAGCCTTTCTGCAAATTAAATGTTTACGCCAGTGGATTTTTTTTTTACCACTTTATTAAACCTTTCAAATAACAAACAGACACTGTCACCTTTCCACTGTTAAACACATCAACAATCAATCCAAGCAGCATATCATAAAAACAATAATACATAATAAAATAATAAAAAGTAAATAAAAGTAAATAAATTAAATAAAAAAAACAAATCACATTTCAGGGGATTAATCCATGTATGTTGCCAGTAATTTAGAACGTTTTAAGGCACTTTTGTTTTTTGTTGTTTTAAGGATTGAAATAAAAAGAATTAACGATTTTTAAATGCCTCAAAACCTAGAGAAACTTTAACAAATCTACATTCGTTTAAATAAAACTTGTCTACTATCAACATATTACACAAAATTAAATCTTTTTTGTTTACGCCAGTAGGCCGTGACTGTTTTTTCGAGTGAATCATTGAATCATTCGGTTCAAAACCATCACCGATTCCTTCTGAACCGAAGCTTCAGTATTGTATTGATTCTGTTTTAGCTGTATTTCAAAGTTTTCGTTGGCAGCCCAGAAATAGACGCAGAAATTGGCATTATGTCTTTAAAATGTAAGTTACTTGATTAATTGTGTATTGAACTGTTGTTTAAAAACAATATCTTTCTCATAATCGCTGTTAATCTCATTACATTGTCTGCAGTGTACTGAACGGTCAAACAATCGCGCGTGCTGGTTTTTAGATGCAGAATCGCACCGTCAATTAAAGATCATCAGTGCATCAGAGAGACTTAAACAATTTACAGGTCGAAGCGAAATAAATGTAATGGCTGTACATTATGTTCTCTTCTTTTCTTTCAGTCCCAGAATGTGGCTGTGGAGTTGATTAGTGATTCACTGAGCCAGAGTTTACCCAGCGTCCCTCAGAGAGGAAACATCCAAAGCCTCCAGAAGATCAAACCTGTAGAGATTTCCCATATTCTCCACGCACAGCTCTCAGAGACTGTGAGCAACATCCACACAACATCCACATGATATACTGGGGGGCTTTGTCTGAAGTTACTAAAATAGTAACAGTGAATGAGTTATTTTACAGTTTAATAATATTATTATTAGAAGTAGTAGTAGTAGTACTAGTAGTAGTATTCAGTCCTCACAGAAATGACCGCTGCAGCATTTTTGAAAATTGCAGTGATATTTGCAGCATTTTTGTGTTGTTTTACTGTAAAAACCCATTAATAATCATGATGTATTTATTATTAGTGTAAGTGACAGTACAATATTGGTACAATATGTAATTGATATAACTTAACATTTTAAATGTGTTTTTACAATTGTAATTTTTTACCGTTGTCTTTGTCTGTTTTTGTTATATTTTAGCATTTTCTTTTAATAGTATTATCAGTGATCGCATTCACTCAAATATTTAAAAAGTGCATATCCATTTAATAAATGAACACAAAATCCAGGAGGCACAGAATTGTTATTATTATCTTCATAATTGTTGTTGTTGTTGTTGTTGTTGTTATTATGAATTAAAAATTTTTTTATCAAATAGTTCATTTTTGTGATCTGCAGAATCAGACTTAAAGTCATAGTCAGCCAGGCTCATTAAAGTTAACTCAAACTAAGACCATAAAAATCATTTTCATTACTTTAAAGAAATGTTTTCACTCAAATATTTAAAAAGTGCATATCCATTTAATAAATGAACACAAAATCCAGGAGGCACAGAATTGTTATTATTATCTTCATAATTGTTGTTGTTGTTGTTGTTGTTGTTGTTATTATGAATTAAAAAAATTGTTATCAAATAGTTCATTTTTGTGATCTGCAGAATCAGACTTAAAGTCATAGTCAGCCAGGCTCATTAAAGTTAACTCAAACTAAGACCATAAAAATCATTTTCATTACTTTAAAGAAATGTTAAATGAAAGGAAATAAAATAAAATAAACAAAAAAGAAAATCTTTTTTATTTCAGCCAGTTTCTCAGGAAACATTGGCATTGTTTAGTTTAACTTGATGTACTAAAATAATTAAAATAAAATTAATAACAATTATAAATATTAATAATAAATGACAAAGCACAACTAAAACGTTAACTAAAATTAAAATGAAACACAAAATATTAAAATAACCAATTCAAACTCATTCAAAATGTTAATGAAAAAACTATAATACTATCTCGACGCTAATATAAGACTGTAGTCAACACAAAAATGAAAATTTGATTTGAAACATTGAATTTTACCCTCGTGTCATTCCAAACCTGCAGTACTTTCTTGTTTTGTATTATGTGCTCTTCAGGACAAAGTTGGCAACAGTGCAAGTGAGAAGTTACAGAGACTCTATCTGCAGAAGCAACAACAACATGGAAGTTCTAGGCATCAGCTGGTCACACTGTAAGGAATCACTTCTGATATCTTCTGCCATCTTATAACTTTGCTTTGCATTGCATGATGCATGTTGTCCATTTGCTTTCTAGTCTGAAAGAGCTGGAGCTTCTTGAAACCCCACTGGCAGCGCAAGCACAGCACAAGGCCAAGCATCAGGCGCAGGAAACCCACATAGCGGCCGCCATCACCTGGTGGAGAGGCCAGACTAAAGAGGGCAAGAAAAACCAGGCTGCCCAAGTTCCACAAGAAACTGTGATGGACATTCAGAAGCAGATCCAAAGCCTGGAAGTCAATCACATTCCAGCCCAGCTGGAAGAGACTAAGCGTGGCATGAAGGTGCTTCTCAAAGACCAGGGAACGAGCACCTGTGACGAGTCCGACGACGCTCAGATTCAGTTTAGGGACGTGGCTGTGGTCACTGATTCATCAGCAGAGCGTTTGGCTCCAGAAGAGCTGCTGGAGTCTCTGAGGAAAGTGGAGGACGTGGTTTCGCAGGCCTTGCGGGCAGCTCAGGTGCTCATGGGCAGCGAGGAGAGGATAGAGGCCATCGGCATGAGGGTGGAGAAAGCACTGAGCAGAGCTGAAGCTACTGAGAGTCAACTCAGTGCCCTGGAGGCCACCATCTCTGCTAACACACAGGTATGGACCGGCATAGAATGACTTGCACCACATGCATGGATAAGTTATGATGTGGTAATGTTTTAATTATCATTTTAAAGTCTCTTATGCACCTATAATATAGTATAATACAGAAAAAACTGTTTAAATGTTACTTATTCCTGTGATGGCAAAATTGAATTTTCGGCAGGCGTTACTCACATGATCCTTCAGAAATAATTCTAATATGTTGATTTGCTGCTCAGTTTATTGGTGCTCCATTATTGATAATCGTTCTTCTTATTAATTAATGTTGAAAACAACAAAGTTTTTGCTACCTAAGATTAAACTGTGATACATTTTGTCTTCCTTTCATTCTTTGAGAAGAAAGTCCAATTAACAGCATTTTTTTTTTTTAAATAGTAATCTTTCTAACATTATGAATGTCTTCACTTTTTAATTCATCCTTTCTGAATAAAAGTATTTTTCTTGATCTTGCTTACCCCAAACTTTTGAATAGTAGTGTATCATGGTTTCCACAAAAATATTAATCATCAAAAAAAAAAAAAGTGACAGTAAATGCATTCATTATCTTACTAAAGATTTATATTTTTTAAATAAATGCTCTTCTTTTGAACTTTGTTTTTATCAAAGAATCCTGAAAAATAATGTATCAGGAGTAGTTAAAATTTCAGTTTTACATTACAGGAATAAATTACGGTTTATAATCTTTCTAAATAGAAAACAGTTGTTGTAAACTGTCCTATATTTCGCAGTATTATGTTTTCACTGTATTTTTGATCAAATAAATGCAGCCTTGGTGAGCATAAAACATTAAGAAAATCGTATTTATTCCGAACGTTTGACTACTATTATGTACGTACAGTATATAAAGTATATAACCTGATTACATCATCATTATAATTGATCTAACATGTTGTTTGTATTGTTCTAGTCGTTCTGTATGTCTCAATCCGAGGCCACCGGGCTCCTGGTGGACCGTAGCTCAGCCGCCGTTACGTCCTTTTCCACACCCGAACCTGTCGCTCAGGAGAGCGTCCTCACTCCACTTTCACCTGAAAACGGTATTATTTACCTCGAAAGTTACTAAAACATTTCAGACGACTCTGAAGCAGTTCATTTGTATGATGGCAACTTTTAGTAACGTTTTATGTAACAGTCCTTGAATTCTTGTTTGTGTTCAGTGGCTGCAAATCAGAATTGCATACTAGCTTATTACACTTATTTTTTCTGTAATATATTAATATAAGTAGTATTTTTTTCCAAATTCAGGCTATTTAGTAAGATGTTTTTTAGTAGGACTCTTTCTGTAGCTCACATCGTTATGCCTGTGGTGACATCTGTTATGAGTGAGTCATTGAATCATTCAAACGATCCTTTTAAACCAACTAATTCATTCGGGAATGAACAGGTAACTGTTTTTGAGGGAAGTTTGTTTATTGAACTGTTGTGTAAGCAATATCACAGATAATTCGATTCATGATGAACATTGACTGACATTAGCGTAAACATTTGTCGTGGCAGTATCTTATTTCTTCAAATAATAAACCCAGCAAAAATCACCTGAATAAAATGTATAGCGAACAAATCAACTCCATTATTATTGAAATCACTTTTAAAGGCAAAGTGTGCAATTTTAGTGGCACCAAACAGAATCAAAGAGAAAGGAAAACTTGAAATCGCATCATATGACCCCTTTAATGATGATAATGCAATGTACCTATCCATTATTTTCATTCATTGAAAAAAATAGAAATATTACATGAAAAATATAAACTTGCCTTGGCAACTAATTGAAATAAAATAAGTTTCAGTAAAAATAAGCGGAAGTAATAAAACCAACACTAAGATACATATAAATTAAAGTTACATAGAAATATAAAAAAACTAATACAAATGACTAAAGCACATGAAATTACTAAAACGTAGACTAACATTAAAATGAAAATTTAAAACATAAAAATAAAAGTAAATTCAAAATAACGTGTATTTTAAAAAAAATAAATACTATAGTATATAAATAATCTTAAAATAACACTGTTTGGAAAACATGACACCGTTCACTTTATCAAGTACTTTATTTATTAATTTTATTATTAGTTTTATCAATCAATATATATTTTAAGTGTATGTGGTATCTGCAATGGTATCTGCTTTTTTAATGTAACACTGAATGAGTGTTTCTTCATAATGTGTATGTTTTTATGTCTTTATGTGCAGTGTTTGTGTGTGTTCTCTGATGGCGTAACCTTCTTCCTGCTGTGTCTATAGGGAGCTCTGTGGCTTTGGCCCAAGTGCAGCTGCCTCATGTGCTGTTTATAGAGCTGAAGGAAATCGAGATTATCAGTTCACACGTGCAGTATAGGGTCTTAATCACGTTGAATCATGTGAGAAGTGTAGACTGTTTTTGTAAAAGCGTAAATTGCTGTGCTTGTTTGCTCACGAAACAACAGCAGATGTGTGTGTATACCTAGCACGAAAGGTTTTTGCAACCTTTTTCTCTCTGCTTATTTCATGTATGACAAAAAGTCTTGTATTTGCTTATCAAGTGAGTAGTCCAAAGTGAAGTGAAACAGACATGCAATAATATGACTGACCATGCAGCCTGTCTCTAGGATGCTTTGTATTTTATGGCTGATGTCTATAGCTGTTTCATAGAGATAACATTATGTGCATTATGTACAGGGTATAGTGTTTAAAAAAAAAGTTTAATCATCCTCTCTCAGCAAAAGAGGAAAATTACATGAAATAATCTGCATAAAACCTGACTTAAACTACCGTTCAAAAGTCTGGGGTCAGTAAGAATGTTTTTAAAAGAAGTCTCTTATGCTCACCAAGGCTGCATTTATTTGATCACAGTAATACATTTAAAAATGTGAAATTTTATTACTATTTAAAATGACTGGATTGTATCGTAATCTATTTTAAAATGTAATTTTTTTTTGATGCAGGTCTGAATTTTCAGTATCATTACTCCAGTTTTCAGTGTCACATGATCCTTGCTAATCAAGAAATAATTATTCTTATTATTCTTCTTATTAAATAATGTTGAAAACAGTTGTGCTGCATAATATTTTTTATGAAAACCGTGATACATTTTTTCTGGATTTTTTTTAAAGTTCAAAAGGGCAGAATTTAAAAATATTTTTTTTCTATGATAAATGCATCCTTACTGAAAATTATGGAAGCCCGTTTCTGCCACTAAATAAAAAATAAAACAAGACTTTTTATCATACAATTCTGACTTTTTTTCTCCGAATTGCGAGTTCATATCTCGACTTTATAACACGCATTTGTGAGTTATAATGTCAAAATTCAGACATTTTTCTCGGAATTGTGAATTTATATCTCGCAATTCTGACTTTATAACTTGCCATTCTGAGAAAAAAAGTCATAATTGCGAGATATAAACTCGCAATTGTGAGAAAAAAGGAAAGTCAGAATTGCGAGATATAAACTCGCAATTGCGAGAAAAAAAGTCATAATTGCGAGTTTATATCTCGCAATTCTGACTTTATAACTCGCAATTGAATTGCAGAATTGCAAGATGTGAATTGCGAGTTTATATCTCACAATTCTGAGAAAAAAAGTCATAATTGCGAGATATAAACTCGCAATTGCGAGAAAAAAGTCATAATTGCGAGTTTATATCTTGCAGTTCTGACTTTATAACTCGCAATTTTGTCTTTATAACTCGCAATTGAATTGCAGAATTGCAAGATATGAATTGCGAGGTTATATCTCGCAATTCTGAGAAATAAAGTCATAATTGCGAGATATAAACTCGCAATTGTGAGAACAAAAGAAAGTCAGAATTGCGAGATATAAACTCGCAATTGCGAGTAAAAAAGTCAAAATTGCGAGTTTATATCTTGCAGTTCTGACTTTATAACTCGCAATTTTGTCTTTATTACTCGCAATTGAATTGCAGAATTGCAAGATAAAAAGTCAGAATTGTGAGATAAAAAGTCGCAATTACGTTGTTTTATTTTTTATTCAGTGGCGGAAACGGGCTTCCATAGTATAAAACTATTAATTAATTTGACAAATCTTTCTGACCCCAAACTTTTGAACAGATGTATTTGTTTATCCATTCACCTCAGACCAACCCCAGTGTGATATTTAATCTTAAGTTAAAGCGTTAGGTTACCCAGAAATGAAAATGCCATTCCAAACCTGTCTGACTTGACATTTGTCTAGATAACTAATTTTGTGCTTCACGCAAGACAGGAAGTATTACAGGGTTGGAACAAAATGAAAGTAAATAAATGATTGACTATTGATCTTTTAAGCATTATCTAAATATTAAATAATGAACTTTATTATATTTTAATATTATAGTGTCATCATTAATTTATATTTACTCTCTCAAAGGTTGTTTGTGTGGTTTTTTTAACATGCAAATGTTGCAGCATGAAGCACGTACGCAGAACTGAACGAGTTTCTAGAGACATTTTATGAGTGAGAGGGTTAATGCAAAGCATTTACCAGATTATTTCACCCTACAGAAAAGCCTGTTCTTCTGGGAGGGCATTTGGTTTAGCGTTTAGCTGTTGTGGTCTGCTTGAAATGTTTTTTGATCTTTAATGAAGTTCCTCTTTTTGCAAGGTCTTTTTAGTTTGTCTTTTTCAGATAATAAATAATTGCATATTGACATGTATTTACCAGACACTTTATACATTAGACAATTAGATCAGTTTGTTCATTACCAGCACAAGCAAAGTCATCATGCATTGGTTGTAGTCACTGTAATGGGAAATGTCAGCATATCAGTTGTGTCTGGTTCTCATTTCGAGCTGCTCATCTCAATCTCATTGCTGTACATTACACTCAGTCATAAAGATATAAAGATCCAAGCAGTGGGCTGAATGACAGTCTGTATTTATCAACCGAAAACACTCTCCTCGCAACTCTCGGAATAAATAACAGCTGCTATAAATCCTTCATCTTGTTTTCTTCTCCTGACAATGTCTTGCTCCTGGCTTGTTTTTACCATGACCTGCATTTAACCCAGACTATGAATTATGGAACATAGTTATTGCATTGATTGATTTAGTAGTTTTAAGATGCAAAATTCTGAGCATAATGATTATCGCTGTTTGTAGCGCATCATTGAATGTTTTACAACCGCTGTCCAATAGGTACATGCTTTTGAAGAAAGTGAAACAATGAGTCTGTGCTTCGCCGAGTGCTTTCAACCAGAGGATCAAGCTCCTCATGTAAATGGTTGCCAGGTTATTGTTGCCCTTAGATATGGAGGCAGGGTGGGAGGGAGAGAGTGAGTCTGAAAGGAGTATTGAAAACTCGGCTGTCAATCAAGCGCTACGCCTCCTTTGGTACGTCATGCTGTAGGATGGCCTACTATTTCATGTGCATTTTAACACTTGTGCATTTGCATGACAGACCCGTGACTTGCAAATAAGCCTGGATCTCTCTTGCTGCTTTCAAACAGGTGGCTCGCTTCTGCGCACGCCAGCAGAGGGACACAGCAACAAGGTAAATAGCTCTTTATATTAATTATATATATGTTTTTTTTCCATTATTGTCATTTGAATTTTAACCTTGGTGTTTTACGATGAATCTGTAGTATTTTGAAATATCCCATAGCATCTTCAGAGCACATTACTTGTCTTTGTGTCATTAGTTTTGAGTCATTGATAGTCAAACATCACTGTTACTGTTGCTAATACTTAGGCTAAGGGATTGTTTATTAAACTTTGGCGTATAACTTACTCTGCACATTTGTGATATGGACAAATTATGCCTAAATGCTATGTGTGCTGATGCTTTTTTGCCTGCCAGAGACATTGAAGAAAATATCTAAGGCATATACAGTGATAAGAGTATTATACAGACCTATTTCGACTAAGCAAACATAAATCCTTACCTGCTTCAATAATTGAATGTTTACACTTTATATTACCAGTACATTTACTGGACTTTTTTTGGTAACACTTTATTTTAAGGTGTCGTTGTTACACATGCACTTTCTATTATAATATCAATAAATTATGCATAATTGCATGCAAGTAACCCTAAACCAAACCCCAATCCTAACCCTAACCATATAGTAAGTAAGTACATGCATTTAATTAATATTACTCAGTACTTAAACGTATAATTGCACTGTAAAAGGGCATGGATAATGGCAGTTATATGTTCCTTATCCATGACCTTTCCAGGTCTAGAAATCACATTCATATATCCAGTTTTTCCAAGATTGTGAGAGCCCTGGTTCCGAAATAAAAATGACAGTTGTTGAGGGAACAAATGAAAATAAGATGCATGATGCCAGTTTACATCTTGCTTGTTAGCTTGTTTAGTTTATTTCAAATCTTGTTTTGTCATATTTTAAATTATTTGAAGTCATCTAGAGGCCCTTGGGAGTTTTCTAAGGCCCCTTGTGGGTCCCATCCCTCTGATTGAAAACAGCTGCCCTGGCATGGCGGCAGTAGGGTTTACAATGGAAAGCACCTCTAAAAATGTCGTCATAAATCATAAAAATCTTTTTGTGTTGCTGATGAGGAGTCCATTTTCTCTATCACAATTGTGGAGTAGTATAATTAGAACTCTTTTTGGTAACACTTTAGTATAGGGACCAATTCTTACTATTAATACCTTTAAAGCACTGAGCATAGCAGCTGTTTTAAAGAAGACATTTTGGATGTCACACGGTATTTGCATATTCAGACATAAAAAAAACCCCTCTTCATCGCTTCCTCTTTAGTGGCTTGTTTTTGCTGTAGTTCAGATGCTTCTTATTAACTAGCGTGTGCATGTTTATTAGTGATATTTAAAGAGGAAAGAAAGTCAATTTCTGTCATTAACAGGGTGCAGAGGACAAACCAGTTTCCCACTCATCCATAAAATTCTAAATCTAAATCAGAAAGAGGCAGAGGCCCAAAACATACAGGCTGAGGAGGACAGAGTCGTACTTCAGCTGCAGCTCATTGGAGCATCAGGCAGAAACCACACACACACACACACACACACAGCAGTAGTGGTCCGGAGAAGCACGAGAAGGCTTCTCCTTAAATGGTCAAAGCTCCCAGGAGTCACAGGGAGGCTGGTGCAGGGAAAAAAGGCAGGGAGAGGAAAAGAGAGAGGACGCTGAAGATTGTGGAGCTTTGAGGAAAAATATCAACAACACAAATACAAAGAGGGCTTTGAAGGAAATAGTGGGCTGTTGAGAGAGCATCTTTCATCCCTGCTGGCCAATCAGGTAGAGTTCCAGCAAGTTTTTCTTTGCATGGATTGATTTATGTCTCTTGAGACAAGAGCTTGCGGTGGACACTTCAAGAAAGAAATACTTTAAAGAACACAGCATGGTTTCTTGGGAGGTGTGACATTGTTTTACTGGCCTAAAACTACACACAGTCTGCTTAGGATCAGCACAGGTTACATGTATACAGTTGTGTTTGAAAGTCTGAGACCACATTTAAAATCTGGGATTCAATCGTCGTCTAATTTAAACCTGGAAATACAGTTTTAGTTCCTGCTCTATTTATAGCTCTCTAATCAAATAAGCATAATTGTGACACTGATCATGTGACAGACAGTCAGATGTTCTTGTTTCCATTGAAGCTCAAGGTGCTCTTTGGATGATGCTCAAATCAAATCATCATCAGGTTTTATGAACTTGACATTTATTGTCAGATTGCATCCTGCTGTCATTAAAGCAAAGCAAATACTAGACTATAAAAAGTAACTTGAAATTGACAGCTATTTATACCTAATCTATCCTGATCTAAATGTAGTTTTGTTGACACAGCCCAGTGCATTTAGTAAAAGTATTATGTAATTTAAATCATATCACACTTAACATGACATTCTAAAAATGTCATTTTTTCCCATTCAACCACTCACTCAAATTGTTGTTAATAATAAAAAACGTATTTAAGAAAATCCAAAATGCATTCATTTTACGAATCTTTTTTTCAAAACTTTATAGAACTTTGCAGTACGTTTTAGAAGATAACATCACAACTTTTTTTGTTCATTCAAAATCCGTCCGACATAGATTATATTACTTTTAATATTTATGCAAACAAGAAGTGCATAGTTCTGCTAATTATTGTTATTAATTATCATTGTTGTTTTTAAATATCACAATAATGATTCAAAATAATGATGATTTCAGTGTGTGTACCAGTACTTTTCGAAAATTTCCAGCACATTTTAACAATACCATGAATAATATTGGTAACACTTTAGTATAGGGACCAATTCTCACTATTAACTAGTTGTTTATTAGCATGCCTATTATCAACATATTGACTGTTTATTAGTGCTTATAAAGCACATATTCTGCATGACCATTATCCCTAATCCTACCTAATACCTAAACTAAACAACTACCTTACGAAGTTTATTGAGGCAAAAGTCGTTGTTAATGATTTGTTAATGGTGAGAATTCAAATAAAGATAAAAGAAATACTACAATATTGATAACCTTGATCATTTTGGTCACTTTGATTGTGGTATGAAATTTTCATACGGTTTCATCTCTAATTTACACTAGTGGTCTAATACTTTTGTACCTCATTGTATGTGAAACTATTTTCTTCAACATCTTTCCCGAGATATGTTGTAAAGTTGAAATTCTGCATTTCTTTCATGTACCGAAAGGATGAGAAAAACTAGTTTCCCCAGTTTATCATGACAGGTTTTTGGTGATGCTCAACTGAATCGCCAGTTTCTCAATCATTCTCTCCATTTCCTGTTGTTTTTTACAGTGACTGTATAGCAACCACTTCCTTTTTCACACAACCAAATTTTCATCAAATCTGGCTCACTGTATCTGTGTTACATAACAAGTGAAGGGAGGGGGGCAGGACATGCACTTTCTCATGCAGCCGCGTCAGAGCTTTTGCCATGAGGTAACGCTGAGGTCATCAGGGACCCGGAGGGACCTGGCATCAAAATGACCTTCACCCTCCTCAGATTTATAAGACTTGAACTCCTCTCAGTAGTGACAGTCGAAGGCCAAATACAAATATATCCAGTCAATGAGAATAGAGCCCAGATTGACCACAGAGAGAGACGGACGGCGAGTTATAGAGAGAGAAAGCTCACAAACATAGACTCGTAGCCAGCAGGAAATAATCAGGGTGATTGGATTACACTGCAGTATTCATCTGCGTGTCATTCTCTGCAGGGGAACGTGCTGCTGTCTGGCCTCCCTGAACGGCTGCTGGACCACTGAAATTATTTAGAGTGCCCTACCATCTACTTACCCTGATATAGTACATACAGTATATCAAATGCCTAGTTTTTCATATTTGTGACCAAGTGTCTTAAGTGTCAATTTTTCAAAATTGAGATTTATACATCATCTGAAAGCTGAATAAATAAGCTTTCCATTGATGCATGGTTTGTTAGGATAGGAAAATCTGGAATCTGAGGGTGCAAAAAAAAAAAAATCAAAATACTGAGAAAATCGCCTTTAAAGTTATCCTAAGTTATGCTAAGTCCTTAGCAATGCATATTACAAATCAAAAATTCAGTTTTAATATATTTACAGTAGGAAATTTACAAAATATCTTCATGGAACATGATCTTTACTTAATATCCTAATGATTGTTGGCATAAAAGAAAAATCTATAATTTTGACCCATACAATGTATTTTTGGCAATTGCTACAAATATACCCCAGCGACTGAAGACTGGTTTTGTGGTCCAGGGTCACATTTATTGTGTACTTGTGATAGTCTTAGTCATTGTGATATTGTTAAAGAGGTGAAAGCCAGGCTGTTTTTCTTATTTAATACATTATAAAATATTATTTATTCCTGGCAAATCTGAATTTTCAGCAGCCATTATTCCAGTTTTCATTTTTTTTTGTGAAAACCATTATACATTCTTTGATGAAAGTTTAAAAGAAAAGCATTTATTTGATTTTTTTTTTTTTTTTTTTTAAGCAATGTAAAAGTCTTTCCTGTCACTTTTGATCAATTTAATGCATCCTTGCTGAATTAACATTAATTTCTTTTTTTAATATACTGACCTACAGTTTCGAACAGTTGTGTAAAAATAGCTGTGGCCCAATTTCTTATATTTGTTGCTGCTTCTTCATATGTACCCATGATTTGAACTTGAATAACATCTGATAGTCCAGTAACTTTTTTAAGGTAAAGTTTAATAACAAAATGAACTGAAAATGTTAAATAGTCAAAAAACTCTATTGCTCCTGTATTGCATCACAAAAACAGTCGTTGCCAGAAATGATGTTGTCATCACTAAAGAGATATTTACAATTATTTAACAGTCGCTTAATACACACAATTATTTATTCCACATCGGAATGAAGAAAAAGATAACTTACGGATCTCACAATACCATTGGTCAAATTTAGTGAAGAATGAACAGTAATTATTGGTGAAAGAGGAATCAGAAATGTTGCGCACCACATGTCAGGAGCAAGAAGCACATTTTTACTGCTCAGAGTTTGCTATTCCATAGCAGGAGGCTTAATAGAGTTTTTAAAGTTGTGATATCAACTCTGTCTCAGATGTTTCACCTTAAAATCTTTAATAGTTTACCCAAAAAATTAACATTTACTCACCCTCATGTCATTCCAAACCTGTATAAGTTTCTTTCTTATGTTGAACACAAAAGAAGATCTTTTGAAGAACCAAAGAGTTGTTGGTCCCCATTGACTACCGTAGTAGGGAAAGAAATACTATGAAAGTCAATAGGGACCTTCACTTGTTTGATTACCAGCGTTCTTCAAAATATCGTCTTTTATGTTCAACATAAAGAAACTCGTACAGGTTTGGAACAACATGAGGGTGAGTAAATGATGACAAAATTTTCATTTTTGGGTGAACTGTCCCTTTAAGGAATATAAAAATAAACAAATGAAACGGTTGTTTACAGTAAGGTTGTAGAGCTATAAAATGAATGTGAATCGCACAGCTCGAATAATGCTAGAGAATTAATGGGAAATGTTTCAGTTAATATTGAAATCGTACTGAGACTTTTATTGCAGACTTTGCTGTATTGGCACATCTAAGCATGTTTTAAACATTATTAAGGTCTGTTGAAACACTCCAGGAAACACAAGATTACTAGGATTTTTTTCTCAGGAGAAAATGTCAATCTCGTTGCTATTTTGAAGTAACAGTTGAAGAAATCATTTGGGAATGGATTTCACTTTTCCTACTGTACCGATAGGAAGATGGGAAAAGATGCGTCAAACGTCGACAGCTGTGTCAAAAGCACATCACAAAACATGATTCATACACTCCCATCAAAATCAAGCCAATATCAATCATTGCAGTGCTCTGAGGCTTCACACGTCCTGTGCTGAATGTGGAAGAGATTGTGCTGATATTGTGCCTTCAAAACCGTTATCTCTTCCGCTCAGCACTACACTCTCCTATTTTAGTCAAAGTGTTAGGAAAAAATTTTTATTTTTATATATTATATAAAATTATATTTTGAATGGTCTTTTCTGATAAGATAACATACACAGCACACAGGAAAGAACAGAACAGAGGAAAGATTCATCTGGCATAGAGTCATCAATGAAAATGTGTATGTTGTGTATTGTCTTTAAGGTCAGCCAAAACCCAGATGCAACCCTCCTAGATCAGGATCCTGGTTCACCATCTGAGCTTTGGCTGAGGCGTGCTGTCAGTGTTTGCTTCGAGCCAGTGTCTACAGGTAATATTACAAAAAGATTGCTCTTTTCTTAGCTCATGTGTTCTCAGTTATGTTTCAAAGAAATAATCAACTTCGCCTCAGATGTTTCATCCAAAATAACGCAATGTAACAAAAATATGTTTCACTTAAATTTTGATGGTTCTTTTGTAATTCTGTCGTGCTTATTATTAATGTACTATTTATTTTCAGTATTTTGGTAAATATTTAGGTCAGGTAAAGTTTAGAACTTCTGTCATTAATTATGAAACATTGGTTTAGTACAGATGAGTTTTTGTACTGATTTTGCTGTAACTTTCTGTAATATTCTAGTGCTTTCTGGAACATTCCAGAACATTGTGGGACTAGTCATAAAAGACAAAAATCATCCAACCCCTACAAAAATTTGCCATATAGTAAAAGTGCAGTAGGTTATATGTTTGGTTATAACCACAGTTTTACTACAAATACCATGGTTAAACAATGGTTAAGCCCCGTTCACACCAAGAACGATAACTATAAAGATAACGATATTAGCGTCCACACCAGAGGACGATATCGTCTGCCGCTTTAAATTCTCGAGCTCAGGACAGCAGGAAGGATTCTGATTGGGTGTCAATGTTTGTATCGTTCATCAGCTGAAAAAAATAATTCTGGAAGTGATTCCAACGATATTGTTTCTCTGTGCCTTTATCGTTATAGCTGTGGTGTGGACTCTGCTATTCTTTAATATGGAGAACGATTTTTAGAACTATATCTTTATCGCTATCTTTATAGTTATCGTCCTTGGTGTGAACGGGCCTTTAGTGTTGCAAAACTGGGGTTAATTTGTGGTTACCATGGTTTTTGGTTTTATTTGTAGTAAAATCATGATTAATTTTCGTAAGGGAATGTACACTTCTGAAGTTTTGGACGACTCGCTTTTGGGTAACTGCTTATGTCAAACTGTTGTTAGCTCAGTATTATGCATGTACCATGTAATTTTTATGCATGAGTAACAGATTAGCTTGTGTAAGTTGTCAACATATTTTTTTAGTTTTCATAAGCACTGTTAATGATACACAAAAAGCAATGTGATTTTTCGTCTTCAGCATGTCAAACTTCATGAAAATAGCAAAGCAAAACTTTTTACTAGACTATTGTTGGCATATAGTATGAGTATAGAGCTGTTTGGTCTTGGAAGAGTTTGAGTTCATATTGAGAACTCTGACTTTTGATTGCGGACTTTGCAAATTTGACCACAGTTTGAGACAAAGTTGAGATCTCTTCTGCAGCCGACACGTGTCTTTTTCACAGAAGACAAGATTCCAAAAGTCTCCTCTTGGTCTCAATTTAATCTCTTTGCTCTCTAGGACAAACAAGAGATCTCATTGTCTGCTTAACAGTATTGGTTTCTTTCAGGTCTTCCATCTGTAGGAGCGCTTACCCTACAGAGTCCTGCTTTACTCTGTACTGAGAGCTCTTTGCCGGGACCGTCAGCTTGTGAGGAGCCCACGCCACACAACAGACAAGAGAATGTAGCTGGGTCAGTGTTTACATTCCTTCACTTCTTACAGGACAAGGCTTGTGTGTGTTTATGTAAAATCCTCACACAAAGATGATCCAGCGTGAGGTGAGACTGTGCAGGAGCACCAGAGTTTATACTGTCACCCACCGTGGCCCCAATAAATTACTTTGACTCCCAACTGATACGTGTAAACCCTTTTAGTGTGGACCAAAAACCCAAAGAACACATTCTTCTTAGGTAATGCAATAGAGAAAAATGTATTTTTCCACTATTAGTTTGCTACACTAAATGTCTAGGGACCAAAATATCGTAGAGACCTGGACTGAGCCCTTTTGACTTGGATATACTTGGAACTACTTAGGGTGCTTTCACACCTGTAGATCGATTGCTTTGTTCCAAAACTTTGGTCAAAGTTCTATGGTTTATTTTCCAGGATTCATTGGGAAAACATTTTTAAAATGCACCTACTATGAAGAAGAGCAATAAAACGGCATTATAAAATGAAAAAGTGCGCTTTGATATTGAATGGCAAATACGTGCTCACCCACAGACATTCACAGGTTCTTTTTGAGGTATTAGCAAAACAACAAAGCTAATGCTTTTCACGGAACTTATGTAGTTACCCATCATACATTGTGATATAGCCTGGTTCGTTGGTCCGTTGGTTCGGATTGCTTTCTCACTACAACCGAACCGCTCCAGAGTTCGTTTTCAATTGAGCCGAGACCACCTCGTTCAGGCGATCTCGGACCGATTGTTTTGACTGATTGCGGATCCGAGCACGATTGCAGTGTTCACATATGCCCAAATGAACCCGAGCTAAGGGGGGAAATGCGCCAGGTTCCGAAACAACGGGCCAGGTGTGAAAGCACCCTTAGAAACTACCCAGAGTGCTGTATGCCATTTTACAAAGTCTTGATTGTTTTTTTGGGTTATACGAGAAAATCTTTTCACGCTTGATTGTTCTGAAAACACATTATTTTTCACCTTTTACATTATTGCAGTATCTCTCTTCCCAGTCTGTCTCAAATGACCCGTTTAGTTCCTGTTTCGACGATACAAAATGTGCTCTGATTGGTTAGCTGGCCCAGTATGTTGTGATTGGTGAACCGCTTTGAGTGTGTTCCAGAAATGACACGCCCCTTACCGTAACTGGTTTCATCTGCTCAGCTGTAAATATTAACAATGTTGTCAATTTTGCCAAATCAGTCTCAGAAAAAATGGTACAATAGCTGTCACTGGGCCCGGCACCTTTTCAAAAGGTACTAATATGTACCATTTATGTACTAATATGGACAGTTGAGGTACTAATATGTACCTTTAAGGGACCAATATGCACCCAATATGCATACATTTTGAAAGGGTACTGCCCCAGTGACAGCTTTTGTACCTTTCTTTTGTACCTTTTTTGTATTTCTGAGGGTGTACTAGTTTATGAACAAGAGGATCATGCAAAACTTTTGCAAACACCAATTTTACAGGACGTTTTAGAGTGGGTTTTTTGTATGTGTGTGTAATTTTCGTATACATTTTAGATACAATGTTATACGCCATTTAAAAGTAACTGCCGTTACTGTATATAGCAAAAGGGTTAGTACAATATGATCCTGGAACAACATCCCATTCAACCAATCAAAATTAAGGGATACATTTACAGGAAATGTTTTAGACTTACAACAAGGGTTAGGTGCTTCTGCACCCTTGTTATTCAGCTATCATTTCCCTCTGATTTTTGGGATAAATTATAGGTAGGTTTAGGGGTAGTGGTAAGGATAGCGTTAAGTCCGTGTTTTTGGACAGTAATGTTGTTCCAGGATCAACAAAAGATGTTGGTCCAGGAACATGTCTGACTTGGCCAAATCACGGCGACCATAGGAAAAGCGTCTCTTCGCATGACAACAACATGCTACTACAGCAGCTCTTCTTTGTCTTCTCTAGTGCAGCTCAACCAGTCCTCGCCCACTTTTTTTGCGTATTCTGTGGGTGGGAATTATTTAAATGAGTGACTTTATAACGCCACAATATCTGGATGGAGTGTGTTGTAGTCCATTGTAGCCATTTGTTGTATTTTATGAAAAGTGTTTTCTGATAAAGAGAATATCTCCTTTTAGAGTGGAGTTTGAGCTCTGTACCCTTTCAGATCTTTTTTTTTTTTGGTTCTCAAATAGCAACACCACACTAAACTTGAAAAGTGAAAAAACTTAATAGGACCCTTTTAATAACTACTAAGCAACCACTGGAACACCTCAATACACATTTTCAGACCCTAAATCTCTGTAACTACAGAGCAACCACCAGGACACCCTAGTAACCACCTACTACTCACCCAAACATCTTAGCAACCATCTAGCAACTATCCAGATATCATAATATGCACCTAATTAAAAGGATTCTAGTTAAAGGGATACTCCACCCAAAAATGAAAATTCCACTCCACCCTCAAGTTGTTTCAAACTTGCATGAGTTTCTTTCTTCTGTTGAACTTAAGATATTTTGAAGAATGTTGGACACCAAACAGCTCCTGATCTCCACTTACCTCCACAGTATGGAAAAAAGTACTGTGGAAGTCAATGGGCCCGGTTTCATTGTGCCAAGTTTGGCATGGGCAAACACCACTCACATTTTCTTTCATAAAATGTACAAATCTGGTTGTATTTGAATTAATAAGCAGTATATTGGTATGCTACATTGTTCTAGATTGTGCATAGGTTATGGAAAGTAATTGAGTTGTTTTGATCTTTGTTTTCCTTTAGGTTAGACCGGCCAGCAAGCAATGACATCTTCCTCTCAGAGTCAGAGGCTATTAGGAACACCTTAGCTGTAAACAAGGAAACGTGCAAGAGTCTAAATAAAGTAGAGACTGGATGTGCAGAAACTGAGCTACAAAACAGAAGAGGACAAATAGAGAGTTCTGGGAGGTGCCAAAAATCAGAACATAGCAGCAGGACAGAGGCCTTAAAACTTCTGAACCAAGGGCAGCCTTCCAAGTCAGGGGACGTCTGGGATAATCAAGGATTCAATTCATCAGGGGAGACCCAAGTAGAGGATACTGGGAGTTGTCAAGAGGGAAGAGGAGATTTAGAATGCACTGGGAGGAGTCTAGAGGAATCCAGAAGCAGTGGACAGGGTCAAGCAAGGACAGGGAACAGTGAGACTCAAGAGGAACCCAAAACAAGTGACTCAGAAACATCAAAGAATCCGAGTGTCCAAGGTGAAGATCTAACTGACACTCCAGGGGTGAGTTACATCCATTATCAAACAGTTTGTTGAACCATATAATTTCATTTGGTACGATTCACTGTCCACAATGAGCCATGCACCTTGGATAAATGTATTGATAAAAACACATTGTTTATTGAGAATTCCTTCATTTAATTCTCTGTACGCCTCTGGAATCAATTGCCTTTAAAAAAAAAAAAAAACTCAGTAATACTCCATCCTTCTTTTTAACCTGGACTCGAGAATGTTTTTCCCATTTAAGGTATGCATCCTTCCCAGTGTTTTGGTTCTAATATAACCCCATTTGAGGGAGGGGTGTTGAGTATTTTTGTATCATCTAGGACGGGGTAGGCAGTTCTGTTCTTGCAGGGCCACCTTCCTGCAGAGTTTAGCTGCAACCTATTTAGGCGTAGCTGAACCAGCCAATCAAAGTCCTCAGGATGAATAAAAACTTCCAATCAGGTGTATTAGGGTGGATTGAAGCTAAATTCTGCAGGATGTTGGCCCTTCAGGACCATGATTAGACAGCCCTGAGGTAGGAGCAAGAATAGCACATCTCAAACTGGCTTGTGCTTCCATTGATGCCATTTTAAACATTTAATGATGCTTGTTTGGGCAAAATCAGTTTTACTAATACTTTTAAGTGTTAAAATGAAATGCATAACATCCCGTTTGTGCTATAGACATGATTGATGCCTCAACATGTGCAACTGGTAAACTGGTGAGGAAACATGGAAAAAATTTGAAAAGCAAAGCATCCTAAACCATTTTAAGGACCAGGATCAATTGGTTATGTCATTATTTCAATACAGATTTTGGGATATTGTTAATTGGAAACACCAAGATGCGAATAAAATATCCAAAATGTGCATAAAAACATATGCTCGTTTGACAGAATTTTTTATTCTGTGGTAAAATGTGCATAAACAACTATGGAATCACATTTACAGAAAAAGAAATCCTTGATGTGCATGAAAACGTCATGTGACTGAATCATTTGTTAGAGAAAACGGGTGTCCAATCCTGGTCCTAGAGGGCCAATGTCCTGCAAAGTTTAGCTCCAACTGGTCCCAACATACCTTCCTGGAAGATTCTAGTTATCCTGAAAACCATGATTATTTTGGTTCAGGTGTGTTTAATTGGGGTTGGAGCCAGGGTCAGAAATTAACTTTTCCATTAAGGGGCAAATTTTGCCAGGGGCATTTTTTACATTCGTGAGGGCAATTTTATCACCACCTTAATAATTGTATCTGTGTTGTCTTTAATGTCAAATACTTGAATTTAACCAATTACTACAATCAATTAAAATACTTAAAACTGTTGCCAGTAACAATTGACTGTTTAAAATTGTATCTAAATTAGACATTTAAAAACAGGAGCCAATATGGCTGCAATATTATGACAGAAATCGTTATTGCCAATTATTGTGCTTGATATTGTAATAATTAGAGGTCGACCGATAGTGGATTTTACCGATACCGATAGCTAGGTTGGACCACACTGGCCGATACGATTAATCAGCCGATAGTTTTTCAAATGGATACTGAACGAAAACTAAAATAGTGCTCTACTATTTAAAAAATTTACTGAACCATACTTTGTAAATGAATAAAAATATTAATATTAATTATATATTGATCATTAAATTTAGTTCATCGTTTATTAATGTTAACAAAAGCAACTTCAAAATTTTTAAATATATCAGTAAATGTTTAAATTCACGCACTCTACTTCTATTCTACTGCTTTTATCAATCTTAGTTCTAGAACACTTGATGATTATCTAATCAAAATAACAAAATATGTTAGTCACACCGGGCAAAAGCGCAGCGCTGCGTCTCTAGAACTCGTAGGTATCACACACACACACACTGGACACGTCACGTTCAATTAAATAGGCGGTCTAAAACAGTTTATTTAATTTTATTTAAAGTATGATTATTTAACAGTTTATTTAAAGAATGATTAAAAAGATAGATGTGTTTGAAGTTCGGTGTTTAAAAAATAACAAAGCAAACAGAAAGAGACAGCGCAATCTATATTATATCTCTTTATGTGAAACATACAGACTTTATTAGAGCCACAGAAAGACAAACGTTTCACTGAAAAATGCACAACAAACAATATTCCAGCCCAGGGTGAATTTGGGACAGATATGATGTAATGTAAAACTCTTTGATGGCGGTCTGTGGCACGGCAGGATTTTCTGTCGGCTCAATGATCATATCAGTTTGCTTTTTCACGTCTTTAGCCTTAAATATGCAACTTTGCAGGCTAACAAATGCATCAATGTGACCAGTTAGATATAAACTAATGCAAATATATGGTGTGGTAGCGTGTTTTGGGCACATTGTTTTAACTGCTTGAGGTGCTGCTAATGTGCTCGTCCTCTTAGCCTTGATAGCAAATATACTGCTGTCCTTTCTCCACTAATGCAGCATCTAGTCAACAAATGAATCACTTACGAATAGCACATGCTGTCAGTGATCTCTGCCTCTAGATGCCGAGATCTGCCTCTAATGACAGGGGACCCTTCTCAGCCGCTCCAGCAACGGACGCAACTATCGGCATAGATTTTTCCTGATAACCGATAGTTCCAGCTATCAACTATCGGTGCCAATTAATTGGCAAAACCAATACATCGGTCGACCTCTAATTATTTTTATTCATTTTGAGGAATACTGAATCTGTGTTTTTGTTTCTTGTGAGTGAGATGAATTAATGCATATTCATATTTGTTTTAGAGCTACAATAACATCTTCTGATTTCTCTCATCATGGGGACAGAAGAGCTGTCAATCAATAAATTGGGAAAAAAAGTAACTTGCGTTACTTATTTGAAAAAGTAACTCAGATATTCTCTTGTAAATTAAAAAGTAATGCGTTACTTTACAAGTTACTTGAAAAAAGTAATCTGATTACATAACTCTCGTTACTTGTAATGCGTTACCCCCAACACTGGTGATGATATGAAACATGCACTACAGTATACAGTGTACACACCGTTTCGTTGTCGATGTTTTAAATCCGCATCTGAAATGTCCCGCTCTGTCCAGCACGCAGTGTCACGTGTCTAAACGAATAGCACATGCTGTCAGTGATCTCTGCCTCTAGATGCCGAGATCTGCCTCTAATAACAGGGGACCCTTCTCAGCCGCTCCAGCAACGGACGCAACTATCGGCATAGATTTTTCCTGATAACCGATAGTTCCAGCTATCAACTATCGGTGCCAATTAATTGGCAAAACCAATACATCGGTCGACCTCTAGTAATAATGATTATTAATGTTGATTAATAGAATGCATATAAAAACATTTTTGTGTTTTGTCTCTGCGATTTGGGGAAACGGCTCGTCATATATTCTGGCTGTGGCTTTACAAACAAACATGTCCATGATGTTAAATCTAGTCTAGCGCAAAGTATGCAAAAACTCCTGCTATAATCACTGAAGCTATGAAGTGAATCTTTTATTTACATTGTTTTTGCACTATGTTCGGCATAGATTTTTCCCGATAACCGATAGTTCCAGCTATCAACTATCGGTGCCAATTAATTGGCAAAACCAATACATCGGTCGACCTCTAGTAATAATGATTATTAATGTTGATTAATAGAATGCATATAAAAACATTTTTGTGTTTTGTCTCTGCGATTTGGGGAAACGGCTCGTCATATATTCTGGCTGTGGCTTTACAAACAAACATGTCCATGATGTTAAATCTAGTCTAGCGCAAAGTATGCAAAAACTCCTGCTATAATCACTGAAGCTATGAAGTGAATCTTTTATTTACATTGTTTTTGCACTATGTTTTTTATTATGAGTGCAACGAATTCAATCAGTGAGCATGCACACACTCAACTACAACTCAGGAGTTTTCAGCATTGACTAATCTAAGCGTCTCTGATTGGCCATCCGTTCCTAAGCTCAGCGGAAACACGTTTGATTGGTCATAAGGTTCAATGCTGCAAAAAACCAATGCGTAAAAAGTAATCTGATGCAGTGTGAGTGAATCAAAATGTAATTTCGTGAACAGACACTTTGCATTCATTTTCACATTTCTTTTCAGTTGCAACAGCTGTAATCGATTGTTTAAATGTGCAGGGGCACAAATTTTTTGCCCCCTTTTTTGCCCTAAATTTTGCCCCTTTAACTTGAATTTGTAGGGCATTTTTGTTCATCTTGGTAGCATTTTTGCCACAAGCCCCCGTTATTTTCTGACCCTGGTTGGAACTAAACTACAGGTCAGTGGCCTTCCAGGATCAGGATTGGACACTCCTGAGAGAAGAAAATATCAGCTGACCAATATCTTCGCATAGCATCCCAAGCATATGGAACTGTTGCTGATTGCTTGCAAACTCAAGGTTCATGATAACGTTTTGTGTGTGAGCTCCAAGTTGCAACAAAATCATAAAAGCCGTTTATTATATTGAACAATTGAATCTTTTACTATCCGGAAATGATGGTTCTGTTCTCTTGAACCCATTGAATGGGAAGGCTATTTTATCTGCAAATAGCTTTGCAAAATTTCAATGGTTCACATAAATAAAATTCACAGCTTTAGAGGAAACCTGTCCATTTGGGACTTGAGGGTAGGATCTTTTGACTGAATACCCTACCAACCACCCAGAACAAATTAGCAACCACAAAACAACTTGCTCAGAACCACATAGTAACACCCTGGCAACATCCACACACCCTAGCATTGTGGTAGCACTCACATTTTCTTTAGAAAACGTAAAGACCTATTTAGTGATGCAGCTGTAAATCCAGTGACATTTCCAGCCAATATTTCATTAGTCATTTAGTCGATTCTTACGTTTTAGAGGTGTGTGGGATGAGTGATGCAGGGTTTATTTGTGCTTGTTAGGGGCCAACACTTTTTCACACCACTGTATATATTGTTTGCTTGCTTCTATTATCCTCATTTGTAAGTGTCTTTGGATAAAAGCATCTGCTAAATGATTAAATGTCATTTTGTAAATGCGATTTGCTGCACCTTCTGGTATTTTCTCCCCCAAGAATTCCAATGTTAAAGACAATTATTTTTTTAAATAAGTTGAAATAATGCAAAGAGTAGGCTTCGAACAACATCCTGGAAACTCACAACAGGTCTGTCTTTAAGGTTTGTTATCATTATCATTTCCCTATGAAGATTTGATCATTTTACATGACATTTCCAGGTCTTGAAAACACTTTTTAAATTGGGCTACCTCATATATCCAGGGTTTTCTAGACAGTGGCAATCCTAGTTCTTTAGAGAAAATAAAACAGTTGTTAAGGGGGTAAATTAAAATAAGTTATCTTGATTTTATGTTGTTTGGACTTATTTCAATGCTTGCTTTGTTATATTTTAAACAATTTTAAGTCATCTTGAGGCCTTCTTGGAAGCAGGGCTTGAAAACAAAACAAAAATCCAATCGGTACACTCCAAGCAGAATCGATATTTTAATGTTTCTGTTTCTGCATTTCTCTGTATTATTATCGTTCCGAAACCGTTTTGCCTAGAAAAAATACTTCTCTCGCATCAACATCATCCTTCACATCGGCTGTAATAGCACAGTGAGGCGGTGGTCACGCTGAACGCAACAGATTGTACAACGGAGCAGTGCAACTTTTTATGTTTCTTTAACTGTATTTCATTTTGATAATGAACAGGCTGCAATGTCGCAAAATATGTTGTGTCTGTGTGCACGTGATCTGTTGAATCCATCTTACACTATCCTCGGATAAACTCTAATGCATTGCCATTGCGACTTATGATGATTTTACAGCTGAGCGCGGGCATTTCACTGGCTGGGTGCGTCAGCTTCACATTTGCATAGACCGTACTAATTGAATTCTTGATTGGTTGACAGCAAATTTCAAATATTAAATGGAACGATAAAATAACATTATTAAGCGGTTAATGGCCTTTTTACATTTTCGATTCTATTAGGAACTATAAAATTTGATTTTGTTTCTGTTTCTGGTTCTGTTCCTGCCAAAATTTCGTTTGTTTCCGGTTTTCGTTTTCGTTCCTTGAACCGGTTCAGAGCCCTGCTTGGAAATTTTTCAGCGCCTCTGTTTGAGAACCACTGATCTAGTGAGAAGAGTGAGCAAAATGCTAAAATTTGTATAATACAATTTAAACACAGCAACTTGAGTTGAACGCTTATTTTACATATTTCTTATTCAATTATCACATCAAAAATTCAACAGAAATGGGTTATTTTCCATTAAAAATTCTGGTAAAGCTGAATCACTATCAGAAGGGTTAAATATCATCCATTTAATCAGTCTTTCACTATTCTCGTTGTATTCATTACAGTGCCTTAGAATTGAGTAACATGTAAGAATATGGTAATTGTACAGTACCATGATATTTCCTTCAGTGTACCATGGCACTAGTGAAGACTGTACTGTTCTGTGACTGCATAAGCTTGTTTCCTCATACATGTATGTGTTGTGTTGTGTCTGTACAGGACCAAGAGGACCCCTCTGCTGTATGTCAGTTCACACGCTCACGGGGTGAGCAAACTTCACTAAAGAGAGCTCATAGCTTTGTGACAAAGTCTGTCACTCCTTTTATCTTCCCTCACACACGCTCTCGGCCCCCGCTCATCCCCGCCATGCCCACCCTTCCTGAGGAAGAGGAAGATTCCCCAGAGGAGCTCGACAGTACATCCAGTTCGCCCTCCACAGTGAGTCAAACTATCTTTCACATCGCATCAGGCTACATTCACGCTGTCAGTCCAAATCTGAATATTTGTGTATCCATTCCACTCTTTCCTTCTCCGTGTTCTGCGTTGCTTTCTATGGCAATGGCGTTGCATTGTTATGCCTATGCCAAAAACACCAACAACAGCAACATAAAGATTTCATACCACAGGATTTCAATAGGATTTCATTCCACATATGAATCATAGCTAGAAATGGATTTGTAAAAATTGTATTTCATGTTTGTTTTGTTTTTTTGCTAAATGTCTTATATGCAAAAAAAAATGGATTTGGATCAAAAATTTGGATTTGGGCTGAATGAAAATGCATTTTCACTCTCTGACAGTAGGTGGCACTTACGAAAAAGCAGAAATGCAGCGGTACACAATTGAAGCGTGTGCTACTTTCTGACTTCTGCATGCCAAGTTAAAAAAAAAGGGAGCAAAAGACTATTTACATGTTTTCAAAGAGCTGTTCAAATTTTTGTATTCACTATGGTGTTTATCAAACAATACCAAATACAAGATTTTTCTTGGAGGTTCTGGATACTGGTTCTGCCTACAAGATTCAGACTTGTGTCACCCATTTGATTACCTCTATAACTAGTCGGTCTAACAGTCCCATTAGTGGTTGATCTATAACTGACCCAATCTGGCTAATCAAACACAGATTGAGTTCATTTAGTGTGACTAGCGGTGCAAAAATGACTCTCTTCACCTTCAAACACGTGCCCTAACCACATCACATCTGACATATGATCCCTATAAAGATGTTCATCTGAGGAGGAAGAAAGTGCATGTAATCTTTTCCTGAAAGACAACATTCCACTCTCAATCAAGATTCAGATATTATCAGTACCTTAATGCCACAGAATGGATATTTGAAATCCTACTAGTTTAATAATGTCACGTTACACAGTTAGGGCCCAATGCCGAATTTTTTTTTTAATTCTTTGCTTAATGGTAGAAGAGTAAAAAGAAGTTTGAAATACATGAGCAGCAATATACACTTTGTGTATATCTGCTGGGAGCGGAATTTAGATGAATATGTAAATATGTTCTGCACACTTTCCTCTCAATAACAAAATGAACACATAACAAAAATGCGAAAACAGTAGTTAAGAAAGCATTTGATAAGTGGATATGTTTGCAGTTTATTTATATTGCACTTTATAAAATAGATTGCTTTAAAGTATGCAGCTTTAAAGTATTATTAAACAGTATTAAACTATTCAGCATGAAAAAACAATGCCAGTGTCGTTTTCAGTTTACTTAAAATCGATACTATAAAGCAGCTCTGCACTTTGTGTGCAAAGAAGGCGGAGCCATGTTAAAGGAGGCGGAGCTCAGGAGCACACCTACCTGTTATGTAATTGCCATGGACCAATGGTAGTTTGAAGGTGGTCACCAGCCGGAGCAAATTTTTTCCGAAAGTTCGCTTTGGCGAGTTGTTTTGAACTCCCAAAATGAACTTCATTTTGGCATGATTTTGCTTGAAATGACATCACACCAGTTTGTTCTTCGATTTCTCTTGAAGTATATTAAGCTCTTTACGAATGTCTCTCTGTCATGGCCTGTGAGTGAGAAGAGCTATTGCTTCACTGACGACAAGCTTCAGGATTTACTATTCTGTTTTCCTTTTGGAGACCACAGATCATTTCAACATCAAAGCCTGTCAGGGGTTGTTGTTCATTATAGCCATTATGTTATTCTTGAGTGAGTACAATCCACTCACGCGGTGACTCATAAAAGGTTGGGACTCAGATAAGGCCACTCTTTAAAATCATATTACACTTCAGTAATCTAATCCCAGAATAATGGCCAAACAAATAAAGCTCCACTTTGTACTGAAGTACTAAACTCAAGAACTTTAGCACGGCGTGATGGTTCTTGTGTATAAAAGTATGGCAGCACTTGATGGTATGTGGCATGTTGTAAATCTCTGTCAGAGAGCACTTCCTGATGCTATTTGAATGTTTTTTTTTTGCTCTCAGAGAATGAAATGAGATGTTTTATAATAGACTGTAGCTATGGAGAGTTTTATATAACATGTATATAATTAAAGGGGTCATATGACGTTGCTAAAAAGAACATTATTTTGTGTATTTGGTGTAATGCAATGTGTTTATGCAGTTTAAGGTTAAAAAAACACATTATTTTCCATATAATGAACATTATTGTTTCTCCTCTATGCCCCGCCTTTCTGAAACGCCTTTCGATTTTTACAAAGCTCATCGGTCTGAAAAGCGAGGTGTGCTCTGATTGGCCAGCTATCCAGTGCGTTGTGATTGGCCGAATACCTCAAGCGTGTGACGCAAATGTTACGCCCCTTACCATACTGTGATGCCGTCTCCCAGCAGGACGAGACAAAACCAATAAAACCCATTACAAACGAGGCATTTGTTGCATACAGTGGGGACATAATT